TCAATGGTACATTTATGCCCACGACTATGACAGTGCCTAAAGGTACATCCCCATTGATGTAGTGGCATGCAGCTTGGCTTTAATCGCTCGGCTTTGTCTGTTTCCTCTGTTTTCAACCAGTAACAAAATATAATCAATATAAATCACATGATAAATCAGTATTATTTCATTTTCATTAAAATGTCGTGATTGAACGTATTATTGACTGCTGCGGCGTTTATTGCCATTGCAAATAAAAAAAAGTATAAAATATACTGTACATGTTATCTTTTATCTGATTTAATATAAGATGATACTGATATATTAAATTTGAATATAGATACAATAGAGGTTTCAGAAACAGACAAATTATATTTATTCAAAAATTATTATACTAATTAGGTTTTTATAATAGGTTGTAAAAATCATTTAAAATCAATTATAGTAACATTTAGTATAAAAATCATTATTCCCCAGTTCCCAGTAAATATGCCACGCGGTTTTCTTTGGTGTTTACCGACAATCATTGGGAACACGCGGCTTCGGCCACACCAAAATATAGAAGATAAGCGGCAAAGCCACGTGGCTATAAATACAAAATAATATTTATGTAGAATAATGAATATTTTATAGTTTGTAACACAAATAATTTTAAAAACATATTAATATTATAATATATAAAAGACTGAATAATAATACAATGATTTAGTTTTAGTGTGAATAATAGGGTAAAATTATAGAAGATTTTTACTACAAAAAGTAAAAAATAAATTACATTTTGGATTAGAATAATGATGTTGATATTATGTTTTTTTTAAAAATAATTTTAGTGAAAATGAAAAAAAATTTAGAAAAATTTTAGTACGGATTAATATTTAACATTCAAATTTTTTTCTTTTTGAAATTATAATAATTCTAAAAATGATTATACATTACATGATTTCTAGACACACTGTGATGTAAGATAAAGATAATATAAATTCCTTATTACTAATATATTCAATCAAATGAAGTGTACTAGGAACTTATTATTTATCAGAAATCCATAATATAGGTTAAGGTTTTTCACATAAAAACTAAGCTAATTTTGTATAATATAATTTAAGTTATTTTCAAGCAATGATGTATATTGAATTATATAAATATATATACTTTTTTTTTAATCCTTATTAATGAAAAACTACAATGCATCTACAATTGGTGTTGAAGAAACTTTATTTACAATAGTATGATAAAAGATTATCCAAAATAAATACCACCTCAACTTAATTAAAAGACATTATAGAATTTTGTATATAATTTGATTTAGTAAACAATATTTTGGTGAAAATGGTAAATAAAATACTTATACAATAACCATACATTTTATATATATATATATATATGTTTATATCAAATAAATTGTATGCACTGAATACAGTTTAATTAAAAATATTTTCAAAAATATTTACTTTTAATTGAGAAATTAATCATAATTATAAAAATTAAATATAAATTTTAAAACACAATTAATAAATTAAATAAATAAATATATATATATATATATATATATATATATATATAATTATGAGTGAGTGTGTCTTTGTGTACAATTCAATTATATATAAATTAAACTGATAAAATAGAATAATTACTAATAAAGAATGTTACGAAAATGATTATAATATAAGACAGAAAAAGTAGCACATAATAATATAAATAATATAATATAAGGTTAAAAGATCCCAATCAACAATAAATCACTGAAAAAAAAAAAAAAAAAAAAAATTAAAATCTGTCTAAAACTATGCACCAATGTTGTACAACAGTCTGAAGAATATTTCTCCTTTACCTTAGCACTGCATACACGATTTATCTTTTTCCACATTGGGATTAGTTTCACACTGAAGAATTTTTTGCTGAACTCCAGAATCTGCAGCATTCAAATCCAGCCTAAAATACCAATCACAATTATTAAAAATATTTATTATACATTATCTTACTCTATAATATTAACAAGTAATTTACAGGAATTAAAATTGTACTTATTAATTCAATATTGAAACAAATTAGTTTTAATGTGCTAAAGAATAATTTATTAAAATATAAAAATAATAGTCTAGAATTCATAATAATGATGACATTTAGATAACTAAACATTTTGTTTTCTGTCATATTTTTCTCATTCTTCTAATTCTAAATTATTTTGTTTCACTTTTTTTCATTTTCTCGTTCATTAAAATCCTGAAAAGTTGAATGTATAGCTTTGTCAACATCAAGTATTAACAAATTCAGTTTTGAAACTTTTATTATGAATTTATTTTTAAGTTTTTATTTAATTTTACTCTATTTGTATATATTTTTACATGAATGTATGCATTTTAGTTTACACAAACTATACACACTTTTATCTGATACTAAAAATAACTTGTTCTGTTCAATATTTTTAATTTTTTTTTCTTGTAGTAATTACAAATGCCTTAGTCTAAGATTGCTCGAATTTTTATTTTCTTAAAAAACTAAAAATTAGAAATTAAAATTTTTACCAAATATACTTAATAATAATGAATTGTTGAATTTCTATTACTCTTGAAGTTAACAAAAATCATTAATAAAATTATCTTTAATGGACAAATTGGCTGAGGGATTGGATACTAATTAGTGGAGGCAACAAAATCAATTGAAACAATACAAAATTATTTCAAAATATATTTATAAACAATAAAGATAAATGTATACTAAATTAAAATAGACAAATTATAGAGCTAGTAATTATTACAAGAAACAGAATGGGTATTTTGGCAAATAACTAAATGTAACCGGGTTACTGTATTTTATAAACAAATTGATTTTTGTCACTTTTGATTATAGGTTGCTGAAATAATATTACCAAATAAAATATACAATTATGCTGTTTGGTTATTGATAAATAAAGTAATGATTAAATATATCTAGTCAGTTCCTTTTTAATTTCAATTCATATTATTTGGAAAAACCATAAACAAATCTATTTAACCATAACTGATAATGAATTTAACTAGGTTAATATCCAAAATACACTTGTAATAAAACTTAAAAACATTTAGCAGAACTAAAGTTATTTCAGATGGCAGATCCACTGTGATATCCTTTAGATGAGATATTTAAATTATAAGAATATACTTAATATGAATCAAAATTTACAAATAAAAATTATTTAATGGCCAATCAGAATTTTATGTGCAATTTAGCTAACCTAAAATCAAATTTTAAAATACTACCAGAATGTATCATTCATTTAGAATCATCAGGTTATCCAACTGGCAACATAATCAATTATAATTGTGAAAAGTCTTTAAAATCGAATTCAACAAATAAAAAATTACAAAGAAAAGGCTTTCAGTTAAAATACAAAAAAAAATTTAGATATATTTAAAAAAATACTAGTTTATATATGATGTGTATACTTCATAAAATCTTTATGGAACAAAATCAAAAATTCATCTTCTAAATAAGCTCAGCTTCAACAATACATAAGTTTTATGAGGTACATTCCTATTACATTAATAAATATTGAAAGTTGTTTTTCTTTATACAAACATTTGTTAGTACAAAATGTATGTACAGTAATTTTTATTTGAATCATCAAACAAGCACCTTTTACCCAATGAAATAGTCCCGCAAATACATAATATATTTAAATGCATTTCATACTTTTAAAAGATACTTACAAAAAAAAATGTTTCAAACAAACTTAAAATTTAGTGAAAATGTTTATACATAATTACTTTTCATAATACATTATTTAATAGTGCTTATTTTAGTGTATTTTAAAGACTACTTTAATGGATAAGTAATAGTTAAAATCATAAATGTATACATTTATATTTGTATTTATACATATATACAGGATGATCAACATAATGTAAGAAACTCATTACATTATCTTGGAATGTTATCTTTCTCGGAATTTGTTTTTTAGAATATTTAAGAAATAAGTTGCTTTAAAATGTTCTATTTCCTTTCTTTTATATGTCACTCTTATTAAAGGGTAATACCAATTGTATAGTTTTAGTTTAAATCATTTTAGGTGTTGATATTTTTATTCTTTGTTAACCTGTTGAGGGAATATTCCAGAATATCTATCATTTTAGAGAGTGAAAAAGTGAGTAATTTAACATTTTTGAGCTAATAATTTCTTAAATGTTCTAAAAAGGAAATACTGAAAAAAAAATATTTGGAATATAATCAAGATCTAATGATGATTCATACTGAACTAACATGCTTGCAAACCTGCACTGGACCTAACCAAAATTTTTTAGCGACTATTCACATTTTACAATTTGTAGACAAGACAAGTCGTAATTGATAAAACCAATGTACAGACAACTTACAAGAAATGTCATCTCAATGTGATTTAAAAATTGTGTGTAAATACTTGTCCTTGATAGCATTTTTTTTTCTGATGGTCAGAATAAGGAAATAATAACAAAATGACAACAAAAAGAACAAATAATATTTGGGTGCATGAAATTTTATGAATGTAGACAAATTGAAGGTGGATTTTTATATTTTATGAACTTCTCTTGAAACTTACAAAGTTCTTACTTTTTTATTTATATCAAAATGTGCCCATATAAATTGTATGAACTTCATTTTTGATTGAATATAAGTTTAAATTTGAAAATCAGAAGTAAATAGTGGGTTTATCCTTAAAGTAAGGGTGACAAAAATAACATAGATATAAAATTTTAGATCAGCTTGTTTTTTAAATGTTCTAGAAAACTAATTCTGGAAAAGGTTAATACTTTCCAAGATAATGAATGTATCAACTTAAATAAATTACCTGGTATATATATAACAATATTTATTCATTTTCGAAATTTGATTGGACACATATCCTGATTAGGAACATTCAGTCATGATCATCTCTTAAGATTTTGAATTTTTAAAATACTAAATATTATATTGAATTTCGATACTTCTATTGTCTTAAACCCATAAAAACATACATTTATATATAAATTAAATTTCAAAAATACAATTTTAGATTGGCAAATCATTGTGTGAAGCAAGGAACATTATATGTATAAGATAGGCAGTTATAATGAACTGGGCCCAATGACATCACACGGCTATTTTAAATGTCTTTATATCTCTTAGTATAAGTAAAACCTTTTTTTAATTTTTACCAAATCATTTCTTATAGTCATAATTATAATAATTGTATGCTGTAGGTATGTATGTGTTGTATGCTCCTTTAATAACTCATTGGTTAAGAACCAGTCTATAAGTGAGTTCAGAGTCCATCATTCCCTAATTAAGTTTATATAGAGAGTGGTTTTTTAATCATTGAACAGCAATTTTCTCACGATTTTAAGTGAATGTTTTTTTTTTTTTTTTTTTTTACATTATGTAAACTTTATTTTAAAATAAGTAGAAAAGTTTAATGAATAGCATATTTAATTATAAATAATAAATTGATAACTCTTTCTTACTCTTTTTCCAATCTAAAATTTAAATGGTTATAAAAACTTATAACCAATAAATCTGTATTAGTGTAATGCATATAAAAATTTCTAGAAAACTTTTCTCTATTCAAATCTGTATTCAAAAAGGAGGGGTTTTTATTTGAAAAACAAAAGTAAATACTTATTGAAAGTATATGAAGTAGGTGTAAAAAATTAAAAATGATTTTAAAATAAAGATTAACCGATTCTACAGTATTAAGAAAAATAATAATTAATTTAATTTAATTCCAGAGAAAATTGCCTGTTCATGATAAAAAAAAAACACCCTGTATATACATAAATATATAAATAATATTTAAATAAACTTGTGTTAAGCATGCTTAGCATACCTTCCATCTTGTATGCATTCATAAATTATCTGAGCTGTCTTCAAAAAAGCATCTTCGACATATTCTCCCCTAAAAATGATATTATCATTATTAAATAATAATACTAAGTAAGTACTTAATTGTATTTATTAATCATAAATTATTACGTTTTAGCACTTGCTTCCAAAAACATTAATCCATTTTCATCAGCAAATTGTTTAGCTTCTTCATAGGACACATCTCGGTTGCTTTCCATATCAAGCTTGTTTCCAATCAAATATATCACCTAAAAATATAACATAATATAAAAAAATAATAATTAATCGTTTCATTGCTTAACACTAAAATATGCTTAATCATACAAGGAATATGGCTTTTAAAATATTTTTTTTTAGTCAATATTATTTTATTTGACATTAATTTAAAAATCCTAACAAGTTATTGATATAATATACCTACAAGTATTATAAAAACCTAATTAAAATCAAATTTAATTTTTTTTTTTTTGTACCAGGATTGTCTTAAAAGTAAGGTTACCAAGTTCCCAGCAGCCAAGGGTAATTTTACTTTTTCTAAGTTGCTACCACTACTGTGAAAATTAGTTTCTTCTTTCTAAAAAAATTTGAACTGGTCGAATCAGACATTTAGTACCTTCATGATACGCGAACAAGATGAGAAGATCAGCCTTCATGTATTGAAACTTCCCACTAAGTTTAGGAGTTGTACACCAAAGAAGGATATTCGGACTCAATAGTGACAGAGGATGAAATGTGGGTTATACTAGTTAAAACAATAGTTTATGGAGTGGATGCATTTATTTTCCTCTCAAAAAAAAAGAAATTTAAGTGATCTGTCAGAAAAATTATGGTAACTGTCTTCTGAGACAGGAAAGAGGTCGTTTCATCAAATTTATGCCAACTAGGATCACCATTAATTCGGCCTCATATTATCTAACGATAAAAAAATTGCATCAAGTAATAATACACTGAAGACTTGAAATGTTAACGAAGGGAATGTGTCTTTTGTATAACAATGGCATGTGACACAAAATCAATTTTGGATAAGTTTAGTTGGAACATTCTTCAAAAGTGCTTTGATATGAATGATTATATCGAAACATAGTGTATATATCTGGTCTATAGAGAGAACGGGCCGCTCTCCGACCAAATCGAAGCGCTACTGCGCATCCTCACGCCGCAACACTATCCATTTATCCCCTCCCGGATCTATCAACAGCGCAGCAGGCGACCTCAGAAGTGGTACAGGTTTTGTACACTGCGTTTCAAATAATGCACTGTTGCCTGTCGATAGTCCACTGTTTATCGCCAATTACCGTGGTGTACGCACACGTCATTTTTACAGCGTTTACTTTTTTGTACCGTTTGGTAATTTTTACTTTTTTCTCCATTTTTTTAATTATTTTAAAATGAATGATGGCGAGTCAGTGTATTATGTTTTGTATTATACATACAGTGTTCAATAAGATATTAAATAAATAAATATGTATACAAAAATAACAAAGTCTGTATTATTATAGAAGGTGCTTGTATATACGATAGTTTACGATTTGAAAAATTATCAAGAGATTATAAAACAGCAAAGGTAAATAAATGTGCGATGCGCGATAATAATAACAATTGAATTTCTACAAAATATCCTAGCTGTGTATAGTCAAAAACTGACGATGGAAGAAATGACAATCGGCTGCCTTTGCTGAAATCAAGTTATGTGAAGGGGGAAAACATGCGCACAAGCAGCCCATTCTCTTGTGAAACAGACTATAAATACTTGATAAAATTTAAAAAAAAGTTTAATAAAATACTCTTTTTTGATTTTTTATAATTATGGAGACTTTATTTTTGGGAAAAGCCTCGTAATTATAATTTATGATAGATATTATTTATTATTGGATAAAAGCAACAAGAAATAGATTAGTAAGTTAAATAATTTTATACAAATACACTCTGGCGCTTTCATATTTTAGAACATACCATACAGATGTTAGTTAAAATATAAAATACACAATATCAGGCTTATTTCAACTTGAAAGAAAGAGTTCGGTGTAAATTTCAAAGTTTTATTTTCTTCACTCTTAAAATTGAGCATCACTCACATAATTATTGTCTTCTTACATCACTTTGTAGTTAATCCAACTGAACTGTGTTAGCCAATTATCAATTTCTCAGCAAACTTATCAATTGTTCAACTAATTCACCTAAGTTTTATAGCTCAATAAAGCTCAATAGCTTAATGAACATTTGCTTTTATGATTTCTTTCTATGGTCCTCTCCATACACCATCACACAAACTATGGTCATTAACACCCTAGCCATCATATGATGCGTTTAGCAAATGAGAATGCCTTTAACCTTTCAAATGTACCACTGTATAACTTACTGTATTAACTGAATACCTGCCTAATATAAGTAAAAAAATAACTGTAATCGAGAGATAACAATAAGATTTTTAACGAATAGGGGATAAAAATAATGATGATAAAACCACAGATACATAACTCTTTTATATATTTGTGGATAAAACGTTACATACCTAGTCTCCAAATTAGTTATTACTTGCATGTTTTGTAACAATATTTTAGAAGTTATTAAACAAAAAAAATTAATATGTTCTTTAAATAATAAATTTATAATTAATAAAAAAATAAATACAATATTTGTTGTATTGTTTTAGTTTATAAGATAATAAATCGTTGTTTTTTTTAATACATATAAATTATATAGTTATCTTATGTGATCCAATCATATTTTTAGTTTAATTTTATTTGAAATTTTTTCTATTTGTCCAGGATTTGGTTTATGAAATTATAGCAAACCTAGAATACAGTAATCGCCAGATGCAAACATAAAAGATGAAACTTGAAACTAAATATATTCCAATAATTATGACACTTTTTGACATTAATTTTGTACATAACGCTTAAATAATTATGATGTTAAATTAAGGTGAAAATCTTACCGTTCCTGGGTTTGTAAGGTTACGAGTATCAGACAACCAACTACTCAAATGGTTATAAGATGAGCGTCTCGTTATGTCGTACACCATCAATGCTCCAGCTGCTCCGCGATAGTATGACCTAGATAATGATTTATTTTAAATCCCCACACAAAAACTGATAGGTAAGTAATATGCTCAACCTCGTCACAGCTCGGAATCGCTCTTGTCCAGCTGTATCCCAAATCTGAAGTTTGATTTTTTTCCCGGATACTTCGATGATTCTAGTTCCAAATTCTACGCCAATTGTATGCGGGCAATCGGCGGTAACTATAAAAAAAATAATAAAAAATAAACACCAAATTCTAAATTATCCAGTATGTACAGAGCGTAGGTACAGTATCCACTTTTTAAATTCTGGATACTAACATTTTTGCTCGGTGAACTGATGCAATAAACAGGATTTACCAACACCCATGTCTCCGACTATGATGTACTTGAATATGTACGAATATTGCGAAGACGACATTTTGGGTCCAATAATATTATATCAAGTACTTTGTAGAGCTCTGTAAACCAACGAAATAGACGATGAGCGACGATGATAAAAAAAAAAAAAAACAAACATGGCGATGATAGGTAATAGTAATACAATGATGATGACGATTTCTACGTACTGATAGGCAGCAGTCGTACTCACGCGCAATAAAGGTGGGAGCCAAATGTTGATGGAACTGAACCAGACGGCAGCGGCAGCGAACAACACCGGAGGTGACGATAAATGAGAGACGCCTGTAGTTTCGTCCGCGCACAATATCGGTTTACGTGTAACAGGTCGTGCACGTCGGACCGTCGAATTGTCAGCAGACCAAAAAAAAAAAAAAACGAGTACGGGGAACGTTGGTCGTACGGCAGGCGACGGTCAAACACTGCGTTCCATTGTTCTCACACGCGAAAAAACAAAACTCGCATACGCGCACAACGACACGATAAGAGGCGATAAAAACGACGTTTCCGTCGGACGCACAAGGATACGCGGTCGAAAACACACAACACACACACACACACGCACGCACGTACGCAAACACACACATACACACACACACACACGCGCGCGCGCGCGCGCGCGCACATACACAAGCGCGCTCGCGCCCGAGCCGACCGACAAACAAGAGGGAGCGCGCGCGCACCACGACGACGGACGGACAGGCGTTTACGCGCGACGCATAAAGTCCCCGTGTACACGCGCGAACACGCACTGAAATTGTTAACAAAAAACATTGTCGTCGCGTACGCGTACCCTGCGGAATATTTTGGTTTTTTTTTTTTTTACCCATTTCACCGCTACAGCCGCGGTCTCTCGGGTTTTTAGGACTCGACCGCTCCCTCCCCCTACCCCCTCGGCGCATTGATCGCGGCGGCGAGCCGGAGTAGGTGACCATAACAATCGTAACGCGAACCCGCGCTGACAATATCACAGTAATCGCCTGTATGTTCGAAAATCCGAACGCCCCGTTCTGGCGACGGCATAACGATCGGTTCGCTCCTCCCGTCCGCGACAGACGACCGTGTTCCTCCGCAGCCCCGTACGTCGAGCGATGACGCCGCCGACGGTTTTAGGTAGCTACGCGTTTGCCGCCGCCGCCGCCGACAATACGTGTACAACATTATGACTGTACACCGGGTTACCTACCGTTACGGTATTATCATTACCACACCGCGGTAATGTTGCATGCGTCGTAGTAATGCGCGGCGCGTCGTTCGATTATCGATTAAGAGCACCGCGCTGCCGACACGTCACGCGCGATATTATTTTGTCGTTTCCGTCTTGTAAACGCGCAATATAGTTGAAACATGCTTACGCAGAGCGGTTTTTCAATTCGCCGAGAGTTTTGAAAAAAGTCATTATATTTTTTTTTTAAAAAAACACGCAACGTCTTGTCCTCCGGAGTGATGTTCTATATTAGTTTCCCCGGTTAATCACAATAAATAGTAGTGATTTTGATCGACAACCAACACTAAACGAGTACTGTGTAGTCTACGTTAAGCGCGTTTTTATTATACCTCGTATCCGGTAAGACGGAAACGACAAACGCACGTCGTGTAACGTCATCTTAACGCGGGATTACCACTAGGATAGTACTCGGCCGAGTTTGCTAACCTAACTTGCGTGGCCACTACATTTTGTAACTAGTGCTAGTATAAACATTTTAGTCGAGCAAATAAATACTGATTCCGTTTACTAGGCCGAGTAGCTGCTGTACTTGCCTTTTAGTGGTCTTTTATGGACAAAACTATCTTTAGTAAAATCACGAGTGATAACAATATTTGGAGCCGGATATCATATTAGAAATTTATACTTTATCGTGTTTTCAATTATAAACGTTTTGTTTACCAGACTTTAACATCTATTTCTTCGAATCAAATTTTAAATTTTAAAATGGTCAATAAATTTAATGGTAATATAACGGTAAATTTCGTTTAAGAATATAGAAATCTCGAATGTCTCTGGAATGTCAATATAGTCCCATGTCCCATTAGTCCTCACGCTAACTGTACTACATTCTTTAAACATGTTTTAATCAATATTTTTTTAAATTTGTTTTTTCACCTTTTCTACAATAGTTATAAAATAAAAAAGACGGACATATTTCTCACGATGGGTGCAGCTACTGTTGTTAGTGAGAAGTTGAGAAGGTATAGGATATAGAGGAGAAATTAGTTTGTAACTGTATGCAAAGATAAATTATTATTGATAACGTAAAAACGATTCTGAGCGGAGTTCAGTTGATTGTGATGCTTTTTCAACAATCTATAATATGTTATATTATGGTAAAATTATTTAATAGACCTATATATTCTCTTCAATAATATTTGTTTAACATTGTACCGATTTTCCCGTTTCCCCTACGTTTTTCAATGATTTACCATGTTTTTTCACATTTGCTGGAAAAAGTCTTGGGAAAATCGGAAAATGGCCTCCCTAAAGTACCACCCCAAGAAAATTTCCTTTCAGAAAATGGTCTACGTGCATCGTACATACATCGGAGTGAGCTTTCTGGTAGAAAAGGTGTTCACGTAGAAAGGAAAATAAAACACCGTCTTTGTAAAACCAGAATCAAAAAAAAATTATAGTTGGAAAAAAGTTTTTCTAACTAAAGAATAATACATGAAGTTATAATATGTTAATATTCGTGAGTCCGCTGTAACTGTCGCTTATTAACTTTGCGCCGGCTCACGGTTCCCCTTGCACGTATGAACGCGAACTCTCTTCTAAATATTATTAAACTTGCTATAGTAACTCGGCCGAGTATTATCCTAGTGTAGTATCCCGCCTTTATAGATACCGGGTGTCTTTAGTCACGCTCTAGCCAACGACGTCCGAGTGAACCACGGCGGCACGCCGGATCCGGTGCGCGCTATTTTGTGTTATTTACGGTCGAGGCGCGGCGTCTAACCGCAGCTGCTGACGGTTGCGAACATTTCGAAAACAAACATTAGGTACCTACCTACCTACCTATCCACATTAGGTATCAATATTTGTTTTTCAACTCTCGCGACTAAAATATACGCGTAGTATGTGTACCTGTTCCGAACGAAAATCGGTCGCTCGCGTTCGTTTCCAACATAGTGTCAATATGACATAACCCAGCTCGGAATAAAGCTTAGCGTCCCTTACCGTTAAACAAAAATATATATCTTCCTGGTTGCGGTCACACAGTATTATAATATAGGTATTGGTTTAAAAAAAAAGTTTTCTAAAAGATAAACCGTTGTACATGTTTTGCTCTTATATTTGATAACTCTGAACGTTTTCTAAATAAAAAGAATATTTTATAAAACAATGGCGGATAGTTTTATACTTATAAGTGCAGTGTGTTTGTGTTTTATCGATACGACTTGTATCCATTGTCGAAGCGTCCTGACAAGGTCGTCACCGTATTGCACAATCATAACAATAATAATTAGTAGATATTTAACTACTTTGAATTCCTTTTTTTTTTTCTCTCTCTTTTAGTAGGTATCTAAACATATTTCGGCAAAATATATGTACAAATAAATTTAATATATGTATTAAACTAAGGTATCGATATTTCAATGTATCGCTAACTATTCGCAAACTTCACGACGATAAATATGTAAGACTAAATTGTTTTAAAATATATAACAGTAAGCTCTACGTCTGTACCTGTAGATGTCTTTATACTTGTTCTAAATCAAGGCTGACACTGCTTTTGAGCGTGATACAGGACGAAAGTTAGAAGAGAAGAGTAGAAACTTTCAGAAAAAATACTAAATCCTCTACATTGAAGCAAGATTTATACTCGAAAATTTGTTTGGCCAGAAAAAAAAAACTGATATTGGGGATAGGTGCGGTGGGTAGAACACGGTTGCGTACGTTTGTCCTTTTTGGCAACACGATTGCGTATGTTAGTTAAAAGAATACTCAAAAATAATATTATCAACACGGTTGTGGATAAATTTGTATGAAACGTTGTATTAAACATATTCATATACCATATGCTTAATAATTATATAGTAAAATATAATTTTGTCTGAACTACAGACAAATGTAGCATTATAAATAGGTAATCAAATAGGTAATGATAAAATAATAAAGAAAGAAAGAAAGAAAATCTGTTTTTAATTTAGTAAAATCATTATTATAACATAAATTATTTTAAATTGCTTAAATTTTAGTTCCTGGACATTTTAAAACCTTCTACTTTCAAATATTGCATTGAATTCGTATAGATTTTATACTCATCATAAGCCTTTATAATATTTTTGATTCGAGTAAAATCCTTTTTTCCATTTCCTTTATTTTCCCGTTATTAACTAAATTGTATAATTGATCTTATTTATTAAAATTTAAAAGCACTGACTGTTTTCCTGTCTAGCGAAACCACTGTCACGGGCACCTGCTGGGATTAACTTCCTGTTCGGTTCCCAGTGGTTTCCTATATAGACGAGCCGGGAGAGCTGCTTTATTCCCCGGTCTTGCTAGATTGCACAGGTTTCTTCGTGGCCCTAGATATTGGTAGCGTCGCGAATTTATCTTCGACGCGGAGCCAACATGAACAAATTCTTGTTGAGCGGGTGAGTGTCGGTACTTTCCCACCGAGGTCGTATCCGGCAAGAGTACAAAACTACGGGTTTGGCTCTCCGCGTGGTTGATCGGGGATTTTTTCGCGCTCCGACCGCCAGGTTGAATAGTGGGATGTCCTCGGTCAGCCCACTTACTTCTGGCAACGGAGATTGTGTTATGCAACGCGTGTTGGTAGACTCCTAGCCGCCTCCGGTTCGGACTGATCATCTATTCTGTCGGTGGTTGGGTGTCGGAATATGTCCGAATTTTGACATTTATGAAAAGTAGTCCTGGTGTCAACCTAGCTCGGCGCCGAACGGGAACCCCGGCACCAGTCGCGGATTTGTGCCATGGTCGGCGTCGTGCGGTTTGCTTCGGACGGCCATTTATTTTTATATTTTTCTAAGTTAGTATTAGTTTTTTTTTTTTTTTTTTTTTATAAGTATCTTAAGATGTAATTTTGACGAAAATCTTAAAAATTACGGCATTGCAAAATATGTCTTATCAAACTTAGCTCCAAATCGTTTTTCGTACATACCCATCCCCACTATCAGCTCTTTTTTAAAATTATTTTGAGTGTTAAAGCAATAAACTACTTAAAATAGGTAGGTCCTAAGGTACCTATACAAATAGTATGCATCACGCATACAATATATATTATCATATTAAAATATTTTTGTAAGATAATTGTATATGTCAATATAATATAATTTACAAGGTATAAGGTATGTTTAACAAATATTAATAGGTATACGTAATATGATAAAATAACGATTCAGGAATTCTAAATAATATTTTATTTTTTTTACGAATTATCAGTAGGTAACCGGAGAACACCAGAATAATAAATTGACGTCATACCATCTTAAAGCTTAAATACGAGTGTCATAAAGTGTATGGATAGACAATTTATTTGATAAAATAATTTGTATATTGTATGTTATACATATTTACGAAGATATTTAAAGAAAAATGCATATATGTATGTGTATAAATTCAGTGACGTAATTAGGACCTTATTTTGGGAGGTAATTTGAGCATTTGTTATTAATAATAAAAATAACATAGTAAAGAACATACGGACGTTATACTTGCATCTACTAAGTCCAACTACCGGATAACATACAAAAACAAAGCTTATATAGAACAAGTAAAATTAGTTTAATTTTAATTTTACAATAAAAGTCCCTATTATGAAATTTATAGAGAACAACATTTTGGAGGGAATATCATAGGTTTTATTGAATTATGAACTATTAAAAAAGTTACGGGTATTTAAAAAAGCAAAAAAATAAAGGTTTGTGTACCTTTTATATCGGGCTGTGTATTTTGAATAATACAAAAACTCTATGACGTTCCCTCCGAAATATTGTTTTCTATAAATTTCATAATAGGTACTTTTACTTTAAAATCAAAATTAAGCTAGTTATACTTATTCTGCGTAAGCATTGTTTATTTTAACCCGGTAGTTAGACTAAGACAGTAGATGCGGGTATAACGTCCTTTTAATAAGTTTTAATAGCACTTAAAAAACAAAAATTAATGATTATTTAACGAAGAAAACAAAAGTTTTTGGGTGGTGATGTATCACTCACATCATCCCTCCCCAAGTTATGACACTGTATACATATATATGTATTTTATTTATACATATAGTGTATTTTTCGAAGAATATAAAATGTTGACTTTTCATTACCTTCGAGCAATTGAACAGTGCAAATATATAATAAATATGTATCGCAGAATAATATTTAATAATGAATTGAACATTTTAGAATATAAGTAATTTATACATACGTTTCGCTATTATGAATAAAAAAAAATATATATAATTAGGTATATGATTATTCGATTATTTATACGTATAGATTATATTTAAATTATTTGTTTTGCTATTTTGGCCTAGACCCGTACATGGTTTATGTATAATTATAATACAAAATACGGTTTATTTCAATTTGTTTAGAACAATTAATGTTTGTGGGGAAAAGGTGATTTTTTCCAAAGAGAAAGGACATTTAGTAGTTGAATAAAATTATTAAAATATAATACTTTAAATTAATTTAAAAAATTATCGATCTCGAATTTATCTATTATTTTTAGACGATTATGATTATTGCACAATTTATCAATTAAACATCAGGCCCTTTACACTATTTACTAGAATAATAATTAAATAACTTTTACAATTTACGTTCGATTACATCAATAAAATCAGATAGAAAAAATACTTTTTATCTCCAATGAGTAGGTGAACAGTACGGCGTTGTTGATAGAGTTATATAGGATTCTCAATGTCAAATGCTAATACAAAATATCCAGTTATACCAGTCATTGAGCATGTTTTGTTTATTTTTAATTCAAAATTCCACTATATAGCTGGTAGAATTTGTAATACATCATAATATATACTAGTCAAAGGTTATATTCTTCACTCCAATTCGATCAACAGATACGATTGAGAGTACTTTGTTTTAGAGATGGCATACGGAAATCATACACGTGTTATCAAAATAACGAGTAAAACGTAGGCGTTGCAGACTTAGTGACAAAAATTACGTGCAATATCTATATTATTATATAATATCTAATATCAATTTGATCACATAAACATACCTACTTACCTAAGTATATATAATTGCATTTTTTTCAAATTATTTTTCTGTTTCATCACGTTATATAGGCACATAATTATTATAAATTTAATTTACCAAAAATAACTCGCTTATATAGGTATTGATTTAAATATTTATTGTTATTAATATTTTATAGTAGCAATAACGATTGTTAGGTGTTCAAAAAGGTTTATCATAAGGATTGGAATCTGAACCTTTATATTGGAACCCATATTTTTCAATTCGAAGAATCCAAACCTTTTAAATAAAATAATAAAATATTTTCGGTCCTTTTATGTTTTTATCGGTTCCAAGAAACCGATTGCGAAATAAAGAAATTAATTATTTTAATTTTATTATTATAATTATTACCATGGTAATAAATATTATAAAATATAAATGTGTATTTCCTGAAAATATTACAGAAATTTAATTCGTGAGCGGTAAATGCTTGATCAATGACGTGCTCAGTGGCCACTATGCCAATTTTTTCAGCTGTTGTTTAATATTTATGCAGAATGACCCTCCAGCATTCTTCCACAAACCAAAATTAAAAGAGGACTAACGAAAAACGATTCTTAGTTGAGTTCGTTTAATAAAATTACTTTTTCAACAATATATGTGTAATATTATAGTAAAATAAATATACATTGAAACAATTCGTATGGACCAGTAACTAGATTTGTTTTAAATCATTTTTTACTAAAACAGTTTTCGACAAATTTGATATTAAAATTCTTATTTAAAAATATAATTTTACTGTATAAAACTTATTTTTTTTAAATTTTAATCACAAATAACGACTTCTGAAGAACTATTTGTTTAATTTTCAAGAATTTCTGTTTAGTCTAATTTTATTTTCTAATTTTCAAATTCAAATATTTCTTTTTCATTTATATAATTGTTTACTTCATTAAGCTCACAAATAATTTATCCAATCCATTGTATCATTTTGATACATTTTTTTGAGTTCCACAAATAACACTGACTGCAACTTAAAGATCTATGTTTTATTTAGTCTGTAAAATTGTATTTAAAGGCACTAAATATTTAAAAAATAATAATCTAAAATATTTTGTGGGTGAATATTTGCTTTAATCAGCTTCATAGTAGGTCACTTCTTACTTTTTACTTTATAGTTTATAAAACTGTATAATGCCTCCAAATTGCCAAAAAGATCAACTGCATCAATGATAGTAATGCTACATGCTATAATTATAACAGCATTTGTGATTATTTAATTTAGTCAGTGAGAGGGTGGGTAAAATACCATATAAATTTGTAGTTGAATATTTTGTATTGATTTAAAACTGTAAACCATTGTATTCGTCTCTCATATCTTACCATTTAAATCAGATTTCCTTTCGGAAAAAGTGCTATAATTGAAAATCAGAGAAAAATTGCAGGTAGTAAAGTAAATCTATTATCTAAGTAATTCTATAGAAAATAAAAAAACGTCCTTGTAAAACCAATACTTTACTCCGCTAAGAATCTAAAAAAAAGTTAAGGGTAATGTAGTAGTGTTTTTTAAAAATAATTGTAGGTTCAAAAGAAGATGAACATACTCTGGCATTTTATAAAATGTGTAAGTGAACTTTGCTCAGAATCGTACATAATTAGTAATGATTTATCGATGCATAATAAAATAATAAAATAACTTTATGTATCCAAATTACACACCTATAACAGTGTTACAGCCGTCCCTAGTACCACCTCTTTATTTTTCGTATTTATTTGTTTTATTTATATTTCAGTAGCCCACTCTATCTATGGTCGGAAAAACTACGCCGTACTGTCGTTTATCGTAAGGTGGCACTCTCATATTCCTACTGTGATTCGTGCGTCGTCGCGGTTGTCGGGAAAGTATACGCGTGCGCAAGTCGTAATAATATTAAAATAACGTCTGGATATAATCTTGTTTTGGTACACTATAATATAGACGTGAAGGTTGTTCACTCATTTTCTCTCAAATCAATTTAGCTTATATTAATATTTAGCGAATAATTAGCAAGAATTAGCAAATGGGGTTTATAATTTGCAAGTAATTATTTTTATGTATAGACAAAATTCAAAAAAACAAAACTTCACGCAACCCACCTTTTTTAACCCACACGTTTGAAACTGGTATCATTTGATACCTTATAATTATCAAATATCTATAAAACCACCCTGCGACGCTAGTGCTATTAACACAAATTTAAATTAAATTAAATTAATTTTTTGGTAGTATAATAAATCAAATGTAATAAAGCTGTCCTAGGATAATAGGAACGGGTGCAGACACTATTATAACTTATAGGTAATTTAATGTACATTTGTAAGCAACGATAAACTATTATTGATAACGAAAAAACGATTTTCAGCGAAGTTCATTTGATAGTGATGCTTTATCAACAATATATATTATGTCATATTACGTTAAAATAATTAAATAGGTATTATATATTTTATTTTATAACAGTTGTTTAATGTACCGATGATTTTTTCCGATTTTCCCATATTTTTTCCCGGTTTTTCACATTTGCTGGGAAAAATCCTGGGAAAATCAAAAAAATGACCTCCCTAGAGAACCTTTCTAGTCAGATTTCCTTCACTCAATTCAGAATCTAAAAC